ATTTTTGATTACTATTTTTTTCCATTTTTTTCTCTTACATAGTTCTATAAGGCTGACCGCCCCATTCATCTTAAGCCCTTTATTACTCCTGCAGTAAAACATCCCTCTCAAATCTTTTCTCTTTTTCCCCTTGCATCTTCTCTCTTTTTTTTTCGTCTTAGATTGACTTGCATTTTGCTCTTGCTGCGTTCCCCACACATAACTCCGGGGCTGAACATCTCCCCGCAGCTGACGCGTTTGGATACGGGCCATTCATGACTACATCGGATCTGGATGAAATTCCTAAGATTTGGTTCCTCAACCCCAATGTGGCTCCGCTAGGGTTCAAGAATGCTGTTGAATCTTGGCTTCACAGCGGACGCCGCAGTAGCTGCAAATGAAGCTAGTAACCAACCAGAACCCCAGTCTTCTACGTGTACTACCTACTCGCCTACCTTGTTACTGTCCGCTCTACCATTGTTGAACTCCTTTTATAGTCCAAGGCTCTCTGATGGTACTGATCGTCCGGGGCTTGTGTCCGCTATGGTGATGAGTCCGATTGAGTCGGCCTCGGGCTCGAGTGCACCTTCCAAGGAATCGGCTGTTGTCGCCAGGCCCCGCGTCGCCCGTTCAACCACAGGTCGCAAGTCTCGACCAAAGACATCATATCAATTCGCTCATCCTGCCGCTCATGCTCGCCACAAGCGATTTAGATTTCGTCCGAAGCTCCTCCTGCAGCTACAACAAGTGTCGCAAACCCCTCGGCCGCTACCGGTGGTCGATATTCTGCCATCGACGTCTTATCTACCACTGTTGGCTCGCAAGTTCCCGGCCATTTATCGAACCAGAAACGGATTGGGTCCGTATGACCTGATCGTGGTGTTGAGCGAACAATACGACCGGACGGTGGGCAGCATTCCTGAAAAGCGCGTCAGCTCGGAGGATGAGGACGAAGATCATCGCGAGGTAGTCGCCACGATATGTCAAAAGTATCAAGACGATGCTCGACTGAAAGGAAAGGCGGAGATATGCATGAACTTTGGACCCATCTGGGAGGCTACACCTCTCCCAAGCGGGACTTACGAGTTTGTTGCTCAGACAGATAGCGGCGTGCAGATCGTGCGGTGGGCTTTGCGTGGGAGGAATCGTCGGATGAGTACGCCCACAGGACCACAACCACGCGACGACGGCAAACGCTTCACTTTCAGCGTCATCGATCCTACCACTCGCCGGCATCCCGTTCTCGCGTCCATGACTCGAAATCAGTTAGAAGTTAATGATGAATACTCCACAGCCGTTCGGTCCTCCGGCACCGGTCCCACGACTCCAAGCTCAGGAATGTCAGTCGTGAGTGATGCCTCGGATGCAGAGACTCCCCTCGATGGAAGCCTGGTCACTCTCGATGATGGAATGCGAACTTTGATTATCATCACCGGCATCTGGGTCGCCTTCCGTGAGGGGTGGTCAGACAACTTCCGCTACGGCGACCCGGTGTCTTCGTTCGGTGCAAAGCCGAACACGTCTCCGACATCTGTGAATCACGCATCTCCGACGACCGCCAAGAATGAAACAGACTCTTTCCCGACGGTGGATGAAGACAGCAAACGCTGCTTGTCAATTTCCAATATCCGCCGTTCCACCACTCCAACCAGGGATGAAACGCGACTCGGTAATTTGTCCAAGCGCTCCAACTCCACCGGTGCTGCATTCATGGATCGAGCGAAGCGACGATCCGCTTCTGGGCTTAGCACTCGCCTGAACCGACACAGCATGTTCACCACCTTGGGCGAGAATGGCCGTGATATCGTTGTCTCTCGTCCCCCTTCTCCTCACCAACATCCCATTGAGATGGAAGACTCATCTCGAAGTAGTCATCCTAAAGCTAAATCTCCTGCAAACGCCCAGCCGGAAAGAGACATCAAATCAAAACCGGGGCCAGATCGAGATCCTCCCCCGAATTACCGCACCACACAGCATAGCACCGGCAAGAAGAAGCTGGATTCTTCACTCCCCGGAACTGTTGACTCAACCCCCAAGGGAAAAATTCGCCACCGCCTCAGTACTTTCTTTGGCATTTTTCACCGAAAACACGATACTCATTGACCTTTCAATTCCCTCGTGCAATCCTGCATCATGTCCGTGGCTAGTCCACGCGTACGCATCATCGCAGCACTTTTCAGTCCCATTGCATCTAGCATACAAGTTAAGCGTTCATACGTTGCACTGTGATTCGTCCGGTACGAATCCTTGCCAATCTTCTTTTTCTTCTCTCCTCTCTGTCTCATTCCAACTAGCATATTGCATCCTTTGCATTTGCGCGTCCTTTCAGCCTTTCACTTTTCATACCTATCTCTTCTCACTATGTCTTCATCTTCATGTCCTAGGAAGCTTAAACTCAAAATGTGTGTGCTTGTATCTCATTCATGTACACTGTTATCTATATATCCATCACGCTACCTATGAATAATATACCCCGGCACCTACAGTCAATTCCACGAGCTTTTTATTTTACCAAGTAGTAATCCGCAGGTTCAAAATAACTCGTTGGTCTCGTTACGGCAATGTATATTATGCACGTTTAACTCAGCCAGTGGATCAAACAATCCAGCTTCAAGCTGCAAGTCCCAAATCCACACCCACAATCCATCACCCCTTAACAACCCAAAACAAACGCAGTCTTACAGCGCGGCCAGATAAGGCTGCTGCCCTCCTTCTTGAGCCAGGTCCTGGATCAGGGCAGTGGAGGAATGCATGGTAATGGAGAACAAGCAGGGGTATGTATACTAGATCCAAGGAACGACCGGGGAAACTGGCTTTTTAAGAAAGACGAGCGTTAAGTCACCATGATAGTATAGTTTGTTTGAGCACTGGAGACCGGGGAGGGATCATCCTGTATTGGGTGCTGATCTACACCCTTGTCTACGATTTCGATGGAATTGACGTTCGTCAAGATAGAGATAATCGCGATTGCATCACGCTTGTCCATGAATATGATGTAGATCTGCGTTTGCTGAGATGGAATTATGAGACGTATACTTCGTAGAAGTTCTGGGATATCAGTTCAAGAACGGGTGCATGCTTTCGGAATAAGCAAAGTACTACCCTATAACAGAGAAGATCTTCGGGGCTGGATCTGACATGTGTAGTACGGAGTACATATATACTCCTATATTGTAGTGTAAACTCAGGAACTAAGCAATTCAATTGTTTAATGCCTCGTTAAACTACTATGTACTATTCACATCGCTCTCAGAATTTTACCGTTCAAGAGTAGTAACAGCCTTAGGAAGATAAGGCTCCTCCAGATACTTAATCTCCTCCGGTGACAGCTGGACCTTGATAGCAGCAACCGCCTCATCGATGCGCTTAACACTATGCAGTCCAACAATCGGGTTCTCACCAGGGTGAGTCAAAGACCAAGCGATGGCAATCTGAGCCATGCTCACGCCCTTCTTATTAGCGAGTTCCTCAACCCGGTCAATGATAGCCTTATCAGCCTCCGACTCGCGACTCCGGACAAACATCTTCAGCACGCCGTCGCTGTTCTCCCGCGCCGTCTCGCGCGAGCCCCAGGGCCGCGCCAGCGCGCCACGGGCAATCGGTGACCAGGGGATAATGCCGACTCCGGCATCTTGGCAGTAGGGGATCATCTCGCGCTCTTCTTCGCGGAAGAGAAGGTTGTGGAAGTTTTGCATGCAGATGAATTTGTGCCAGCCATTGCGCTCGGCGACGTTTTGCAGGGATTGGAATTCCCATGCCGCCATCTGGTCGCGGGTTAGTGTGGAGATGATGGATGTTGGGTAAGAATGAAAGAAAAGAAAGGGGAGTAGGGGAGAAGGATTGGACATACCGAACTGGCACCAATGTACCGCACCTTGCCGCTTTCAACCACGTCGTTCAACGCCTTCATAATCTCCTCGCGCGGAGTATCCCGGTCTAGACGGTGGATCTGCAGCACATCGATGTATGTGCCGAGACGTTCCACGCTGGCATCGACGGCATCGAAGATATGCTTGCGCGACAGGCCGGTGCGGTTGACAAAGGGGCCGTCGTTTGTGGCAGATGCGGCGATGGGTGGGAATTTGCCCTCGTCATCGACACCGAAGAAACACTTGGTCAGGATTACCACGCGGTTGCGAGGGATGTTATACTTCTTCAGGGCTTTTCCGACGACTTCTTCGGATTTGCCATGGGAGTAGACATCCGCCTACAAATTGAATATCAGTAGCTCATTCGGTCATTTCCTAGAAAACATTGCGATGTCTTCATTTACCGTGTCCCAAGTGTTGATGCCCTGCTTGTAGGCATGCTCAATCAGGGGCAGTGAGTCTTCCTCATCCAGGACCCAGTCTTGCCATTGCTTGCTGCCATAGCCCATTGTCCCCAGGATGATCTTGGAGATCTTTAGGCCCGAGTTTCCAAGGCTGTTTTTCTGAAATCAGTATCTCATTCAAGTGGAATCTGTGCCACAGGGGGTCTGTACCGGACATATTCCATCTTATTGTCGGACATTGTAAAATCTGCTTATTTATGTGGCCTCTAGCAAAGATAAATATATTAGTTACAATAATTTATGTATCTTGTTGATTCATATTGAAGTCATAGCCCAAAACCCATGGAGCAGAGGGGAACTCACCAAGTGTGTCAACACAATTATGGATAGAGTCAAGAACCAAAAACGATATTGAAATTCTTGAGTAGATGAGTCAAATGGAGGTATTAATAATCCAGGCGAATCTGCCGAAAACCATAAGCGTGAGGAGCATATAGCCGATGAATTACCGCGAGGATCCCCCGTTGATCCACAATGTTAATCAGCCTGACGGCGCGATATATACATCTATGTTGTACACATCTAGGGTAGCCTTGTAATAATTCAGAAACGTAGCACGATCTCGGGTGGTATTAATTGTTGAACAACATCTACAATATAGGTACCTTCGGTGTATCATAGATCGCTTCCAAGGTTAACCCGAAACATGTTGGATTTCTCACAAGCTAGCTATGCAAAGTAACATTCCTCAACCTTTGATTGGAGTTTGAACAGGATACAGCCATGCGCCCAGCGACTGCAAGAAATGACTTGTCACACGATGCAACACGTTGCTTGGTGGAGCAAGGTCTTCAGAGGCCGGCTCCACATTCCTTTCGAGCTTTGGAACATCGGTGGGGGGAATGACCCAGGGGAAACGATTGGGCGTGAATCCATCAATAGTCACACCATTGCCGAAACTTGCATACTTCTCATCGGGGTTCTCGTAGACTAGATCGAAGTCTTCCCAGCGGACAATTTCGGTGGCCGCATAGTAGTGGAGGACAGTGCCGGGCCAGGGAACAACCACCTTTCCATTGTCATTTTTGTCTGTACCACCAAGGATGAGTGAATGCGCAAAGCTAGGAGAGGTAAGGCTTTACTTACACCATGATTTGCACGATCCTGACCAGACCATGTGAGGCATTCTCGACTGAACCCATTGGTTAAATGCACGTTGAGCCCGCTGAGTGACAGAGACAGATCGCAGTTTGTCAGTCTGGAGTCGGGATAAGATTCGAATCATATAGTCGCTTGCTCTTGCGATACCGGGAACTGCGGATCCATTCACGGGGCAGATTGGAGGATTGAAGACTGTCCGAGGTGGTTAGCACACTAACTCACAAAAAGCATTCCGGTTCTTACCAAAGAAGTTTGGGAACTCGGCAACCATCGCGGCCATATAACTCTCACAAGGTCCCTCGCGATCCCATTCTGCACTCAGAGATCGCCCAGCTCGGCCAATGACTGGGAACCGTGGCTGGTAGGGCTCAAATCCGGTGGCATATACCAATATGTCACACTCGTACTCCCCACCCGATTCAGTGATAAGACTATCCTCGGTCAGACTACTGATTGAATCATGCACGTACCCGGCATTGGGCTTCTGCAACGCATCCAGATAGTGACCACCGGGCGTAAAGCGACGACAACCAGCTTCGAATTCTGGTAGAAGTGCATTCAAAAGTTCCGGACTTGTGATCTTGGACTTCATGAATGAATGTGCCAATGCTGTAAAATTGGCTTGAGACTGGGTCCCTTTCCAAAGTCCCGTGAAACTCCCGGCAAGTCTCCGCTCTAATGCAACGCAAAAGTCATAATAGCGCGTAGGGGAAGCCTGGAGAGCTAGCTTCTGTTCGGTTGAGTCTAAACACAGATCAGCACTGTCGCTAGCCCGTTTCCGTTTGTGGTAAGGCGAGACACTCACATTCGCGCTGGACCGTACCATCTTCAGCCGCTGCATGTGGGAGGATCCACGTCGGACCTCGAGCAATGTTGGTTATTTTCGAAGCAACTTGAGAGCCCAGTCTGGTTAGCGTGGTGTGTCTTCGGGGTGGCCTTGCGACTCACTTGGCTGCAAAGCTGCCACGCACTGAATGGCGCTTGCACCGTTCCCAATCACAATCACTCGCTTGTCCTTGGCAGTCATATCAGCTGGCCAATTTGCAGTGTGTACTTGGGCTCCTCGGAAGATTTTCTGGCCCGCAATCTTGGGGAACTTGTAGTTGTTCAACCGCCCGACAGCATAGACAAAAACATCGGCAAAGACGGTCTTTTCATCACTGGAAACCACGTCTTGGAGCACAACTTTCCATTTTGCGGACTCTTCGTTCCATTCAGCCAAGACACATCTGGTATTGAAGGTCATGAAGTGGCGGAGATTATGCCTGTCAGCCACATCCTCCAAGTATTGATGAATCTCGGGAGCTGGGGGATAAAGCGATGACCATGATGGGTTGGGCGCCCAATTGAACTGGTAGGTGTGGGAAGGCACATCGCATGTGCATCTATAACCCTTAGACCAATTCTTCTGATAAGATGGAAAATACATACCCGGGATACCGATTTTCATACCATGTACCCCCGAGGGAAGGATTCCTGTCGTAGATTTCAAGATCGACATTTGATAACGATGTGCTCGCATCGTGTGCAAATTGAATTCCCGAGATACTACGATCTGTCAGATGTTGATCATCGCTCGAGCTTAGTATGCACGTACCCGGCACCGATAACCACAATCTTCAACGGACGTGCCACAAAGGCACTCGGTATGAGATCCATTGCAGGTGATGTGGAAGAAGGTCGCAGAGAAAAAAAAAAAGAAGATCTCCTGGGTTGGTCTCCAGCTGAAAAGCACTGGGGCGACAGGTCATATATGATAACATGTCTCGTCTTCCACAGAGCAACACGTGCTCCCTAGGGAAATGGTCAAAGACCAGAGATGGACATTTTTCTTTGTTTACATACCAAAACTCAAGTAGTCTACCCAACGTTTTCTAAGCGGTCTACTCAACATTTTCAGAATGTTCCTAGTTTTACGGTGAGCGGGAAGACAAAGGGAAGACGAGTGGAAAGCTTCCAACGTTTTTATACAGGCAGGGAGATCTCTACGTGATTGGCTCGACCAATCCCCAAGTTGGGACTAGCTACTAACGATATAGCAATTCAAAGCCCTAGTATGTAAGATCACATCTTACAGATCGATTTTATAACTGAATGAGGAAGTCGGTAGGTTACCGAGTCGCCGGGGGGCGCCACCTGCATATGGTACATAAGTGATTTACTTAAGCTCGATGTACTGGCAATGTTGCAGATACAATATTCAAGTTCTAACACGCAAGCAGTACGGAGTACCATCATCCAAATACTCCATGCCCAGCTTGCTGATGGAGAAATTAAGTACGGAATATAAGATTGAATAACCAAAATTTTTATTTGAAAAAAAAAAAGCAAAAACGGGCTATCAAAAAAGAAAACATAGTTTTGCCACCAGAACAGTCTAGAAGGAAAATGTCAAAAGTGCATGAAAGAACTAGAGAATTATCTTCGAACTTAATAGAGAAATGAGTTGCGCGCTCAAGCCGATGTCGAAAGGTTTCGCCAAGAGACAGTAAAATTGTTCGAAAAAGAGTTTAAATTGACTGTAAAATGCAAACAAAAGATGTGGAAATTAGAACTATAGAGCGTCATATCGAGAGAGATCAGACAGAGAGAACGTTAAGCAACAAAACACTGTCTCAAGATGTCCCATTCCGCTCTCGTTTCTCCTTGATCTCCTACCATCTCTCCAGTCATATCTACCAGAGCCAAGCATTCAGCATTCCCTCCTCTTCATCTCTCTCCACCTTTGTACTCAATACCGAACATGCTAATTACCAATTATATCTGCAGTATGCCATCCGCGTCCATGCCAACAAAAAGATCTAACAAAGCCAGACGCCATCCTCAACCCCGAATGGGACCCAATCAAGTTCGAACCCGAGGAAGACCAATTCGAAATCTTGCACCAGCCAATCGAGTGCATTCGAGCCATATGCCTGAGACCCTACAGACTCAATAGCCCAAACAGGTGGACCTTTTTTCTGTCCACATCCGAGGAAAACATGACGGCGATAAGGCTGCATTGTCAATCAACCTATGACCGTGACACCACTGTCCTTGAAAATGGGTCCAAAGCCAATATCGTGTTTCAAAAGAGAACAACCCTGGTCCCCCTCAATGGGCAATTGACCTTCGTTTTGGGTGTGAACCCCGGATTCACGGTAGGGAATATCCACGAGATCATCGTTGCAAACAACCGGCACAAGTACGAGATTGACAATGATGGTTGCTATGCTCGAACCTGGGTTTATGATCAAATCTGTCTCTTCAACCAACATGGTATCTTCGCCGACCAAGATGAGGTTGCATTAGTGAATGACGGAATCCAGAAAAGATGGCCAGGGGAGTTTCCCGATCCGGTCCAGACGGGGACATACTATGGGTGGAATCAGGGATTGGACAAGGATCAGACGGGAACCAGACGGGGACCAGACGGGGTTCATACGGGGTTCATACGGGGACCAGACAGGGGTGCTTCTTTCTTTCATACAGCTCTTGATCCGGTCTTCGGTCGAACGTGCTGCAAGACTATTTTTGTTCTTTTTTCTAGTTGTTTAAATAGAGTTTTCCTACATATTCCGGTAGTGGATTCGCCGCCACTGTGCCAGCACAGGCTGTATATTTTGTATGATTATTCTACCTAAACATATAGACAAACCTTGGAAATACCTGCGAAGGTATCTAAGAAGAAACTACTAAACCACCTACTAAGAACACATAAGCAGCTGTCTATTCCTGTTTCTCTTTCCTTTGGTTTTCTTAATGCTGAGCACTCCCAACTTTCAAGAACATGAGGGTCTTTAGGCAGACATCAAAAGAGAGCGTTTCAGCTTTGAGTTTAGGGTCAGGAGCACTGGAGCCAATTATTCTTGACAATTTTTTCTCCTTCACTTGTGTCTTCCGCTTCCCCCTATGCCCTAGCTCTCTTTATTCACTTTTACATCCTCATTTTGGTATATACTCCAGGGTCACGTGTGTTTTATCTCTAAACCATTACGTCATATTCTGGAATTCACGATCGAAATTAAAGCCAATGCACTCTACAGGGCCTAGTCATGGAAAACACACAGGTCGCGATCCGACCTCGAAAATCTCATCACAAATCTCGCTCGGGATGCGGAAATTGTAAGAGACGGCGAATAAAAGTGAGTGCTTTCCAACCCGTCCCTGAGTCGGGTTGTCTTTCACAAGCTACCGCTACCAGTAAAATGAGATATATAGAGAGGAGAGTACTCTCCAGTCATTCAATTATTTTGGAGGACGATTAGACTGGATAGAGAGTGAAAGCTTTTAGGCAGACCCCACTAATAATCTACAGTGTGACGAAAAGAAGCCAGCATGCTCCAAATGCATCCATCATGCTATTGAGTGCGACTTCCTCTCGACATCAACTATATCATCAACTTTATTCTCTTCAGCGCCATCCCCATCCAAGTCTCCAAAACCACGGCTTCGATTCAAGCCTTCTAAATACCAATCTGCGGAATGCAGGCCCAAGCATGAAACAGGGCAGCCATCTTCGCAAACAGTCACGACGGAAGTCCACTGCAAAAGCTCCAGCGTCTTATCACAGACTCAAGATACCCTCTCATTCGCCGACCTACGACTCTTCCACCACTTTGTCACAGAGACATACCGCACCCTAGCGGACGAAACCACCGACCACAATCGCATTTGGCAAACTCACCTGCCACAATGGGGATTCTCCTCACCCTCCATCTTCCACCTCATATTGGCGCTGGCAGCCTTGCATCTGGGCTATCTCCACCCCGAGGTACGAGACCAGTATGTGATGCAGGCAGATGAGCACTTCACATTTGGCATTCGATCTGTGTCGGCTATTCTATCGAGTCTTGACTCGGAGAACTGTCAGTCAATCTACATGTCAACAGTGCTGATATGTTTTGTCTATTTCGCACACGGTCCAAAACCTGGTGAATACCTCGTGTTCAGTGAGACGGGGAAGGCTGAATGGCTCGTTCTTATGAGGGGAGTGAGATCGATTTTGATGTCTAGCCATGACAAAATCTTCACCGGGGTCTTGGAAATTCAACCGGATCCTGCTATTCAAGGTGTTAGCCCGTTGTTACAAGATGAGCTCCGGGAACATCAGTCTCATATTAAGGAGCTTCGACATTATATCGAAACGCAGACTGACGGGAATTCCATGGGTCAGATCGACGTCGATGCCCTTGAGAACTTGCTCGAAACGTTTGAGGAAGCATACCAGTGTCGAAGCGCTGGGAAGGACGGTGTTTTCTTGATGCCCTTTGTCGTTGGATGGATATATAGGCGGCCGGAGAGATTCATCGGTCTTCTTGAGGAGAAGGAGCCACTCTCATTGATTGTCCTTGCTTATTGGTGTATTCTGTTGAAGTTCATGAGATCCTCATGGCTTATGATCGCTTGGGATCGACATGTTATCACAGGAATTCGGGAGTCTCTGGGAGTTGAATTCCATCCATGGATTGAGTGGCCTGTGAGCGTGATTTGCGATTGACCTAAATAGATGGAGAGATCAAATCAAAACAAGAAGTGCGACCTGGGATGCGAAAGCAAATCATCGTCGCAGCCACGTGTTATCTCGCAACATAGACTTCAGTCACCTTGATATGGTTTCCTGTCACAAATGATATTTCATGACGGGCCTGATATCAAAGAAGTCCGCTCGTGCCCTTGGTCCAATCCACTAATTCCCTTTCAGTCTAGTAAGTCGTAGGCAACAGCGTGCTTATTCTTTCGGCCTTGTCCAGCTTGTCTTAAAGGATATATCGATTGAGTGGAAACGCTATGATAATATTCGAACGAAGGCCATCGGATCCCTACGAGGTGCTAAAAACGGTATCGGTGTATTTCAATCACATGCGTCCCACGGGTGCGCCTCCCGGCGATAAACGATACGCAATGATCGACAAATACGATATTTGTGCGGAGTACAAGGTACATCGGCATCGGCATCGGCTAGCGGCAAACAGAGGTAAAGGGGCTGTGTGATGGGATGGACCCTTAAAATCGCTTCCCTGCTTTCTGTGCCGTCCCTTCTCATTGATAGATAGTGAGGACGTGGGAAGTGGATGACATTTCCCAATGTGGGGGTATCAAGTCAAAGTCCGTACCCCCTAAGGTTCTAATAGTTTTTGAGCAATATGTCGGATGCATATTCTATTGACACCAGTTTTTGAGATATCTTTGGACTTTTTTCTCGGTGGGGTTTTGGACGATCTCAATCACGGCAACCCCCGGGGCTGTTCCCCGAGCACCCCGAGATTATCAAATTGTAGAGCCGTTCATTTATGTCATGTTTTATTTTGGGGAATTCCGGGAGCTGTTGAACCATGGATCATTGGCAGAGTCTGGACTCTGATCTTTTCACGTTTCAACGTTCCAAGGTTTGATACTTCAAAATATCATATCAAGCGGATCTACTGTGCATAACTAAAATATCATATCTATGGATGCATAACTATGTACTATGAACCTACTGATCCACAGTAGGATAATCCGTGTAATGGAAAGTCGTATCCTCAAATGGTCCATAAAATCGAGTTCGGTCATATGGAGCCATGGGGATCTTTTCCTTCAGTCTGTGCACCAGATCTGGGTTGCTGGTAAAGTATCGACCATACAACAGAGCATCGTATTTACCCGATTCCACCACTCCCCAGGAGTTTTGGTCGTCCCATCCACCGGCGGAGAAGAACGGAGTGGAACCAAATATCTGGCGGAAACGATCCAGGGTCACATCCAGCAGACCCCAGCTCTCAAGGAACTTATCCTTTTCTTCGGCGCCAAAGATTTGTTCGAAACGCTAAGCAGGTTAGTAGTGTGCCATATGGAAACCAAATATATATATATATATATATAAAAAAAAAACATACCGGCTCAATAAAGCTGACATACGACAGTGACGGAAGAGTCTTCTTCAGACCCTCACACAGGTGAGTCCAAGTCTCAACACGCTGTTCGCCGCGTGCTTGATTGAACATACCAAACGGCGACAATCTGATAGCGAGATTGTGCTCACCAATGGTCTGGGCCACCTGCTCCATCAATTCAAACACAAACTGACAGCGCTTCTCTGGAGTACCGCCGTAAGCATCCTCACGCTTGTTGATGTTGGAACTCAAAAATTGTTCCGGCAGGTAACCATTTCCGCCATGGATCTCAACACCATCAAATCCAATATCCATAGCAGTCTTAGCGGCAATACAATAATCATCGATAGTTTGCTTGATATGATCCACTGTCATTTCGACAGGCGGATGATTGGCGTATGGGACGGGCTCAGTGGACCCGACAGGCGGGTGCGAATAACATTCCGTCGGGGAATCCCACACAGAGGCCGAGGGGCAAACTGCGGGCGATCCGGTCATTTGAGGGATTGTTGCACGGCCAGCGTGCCACAGCTGGCAGAAGATAATGCCTCCCTTGGCGTGAACGGCATCCACGACTCGTTTCCATCCTGCGGCTTGTTCGGAGTTGAACAACCCGGGTACTCCGGGCATTCCATTGCTCTAGAAAAATAAAATTAAAATTAAAGTTTCAAATTATAATTAGGCGAGTAATTCAAAACAGCCGATTGTCCTAAATAGGATCGGTTCCGTTAAAATTTGGGTTTGATGCTTACCTCGAGCGATGGTGGAATGCCTTCCGAAATTATCAAGCCACCTTGGGTTGCACGCTGGGAATAATACTCCACAACCGCATCTCCAGGAACCCAAACACGATTGGGATGATCCGGGGTGCTCGTCGGATTCAATGGCTCTCCACGGTTGCGGGTCAAAGGCGCATGGACGACACGATGTTCGAGGGTAATGTTGCCATTGGAAATAGTCAAGGGTTTGAAGAGATCGGAATATTTGCCGTCCAAGTAGTGGATAGTCATGTTTCTTTTTTTTTTTTTCTATGTCGATTTACGAATGAATTATTTCGGACGGGGATTATAGAAGGAAAGAAGAAAAAAAACAACACGACCCCTTTTCAGCCCACGGTCGATCATTAACTAAAGGCGTTGTTATCAAAAGCTGTCATAGTGCCTCGGCTAGTCAATATAGGGTTTAACTACCCATTTTATCTGGTACACCAACGGCGTTAGTGGCGACAAATACGAGACAAAATGGATATTATTTGCCTGGCTAACCGGGTGGAGTAGTCATAGCTAGCGTTATTCATAGAAATCTCAAACCATTTCTAAATTCTCGGTTGAGAAACGCAGAGCGGTGGGGTCAAACGCATCTCCTTGGTCAATCATCGCCGTCACAGATCCCGCGCCACTAGGTATTACATAGTACATTGTAGAGCAGTGGTGCGAGAGCTTTAAAGTCTCCACTGGAGATCGTCTTCCTGTCTATCCTCATTTTCACGATGTGAACCTCTTTATCTGGTCCATTCCCCGCTACTTTACATTGTAAAGGGGGGACTTCAACTTCAAGCCCATCATGACTGTCGAGAACCCCACGGATGTCTTGCATACTATCAATTTCGTCACACAATATGTATGTATTCCAATCGTGACTATATTCGTGGCGTTGCGATTCTATACCCGGTTTCGATTCAAGCAATCCCTAGGAGTTGAAGATTGTGAGTTTGCCCCTTGTACCCATACACTGTTCGAGAATTTTGCTAACCATTCTTTAGATGCCTGTCTGATATCTTGGGTATGTTGAGCAAGATACAATACGCTTGATTGGCCAAAACTGACTTGATACAGCTCCTGTTTATGGGATATTGTGCAATCGGCATTGTCCGTAGGTGCTAGACTTCCCACGTGCAACCGACTATATACTTACATACTCTACCAGTCAGCCAACATGGCGGAGGATACTACATGAACGAGCTCAGCCCCAAGCAGCAAATAGCGTTCAGAAAGTTCTGCTATATTGCGACCATTCTCTACTGTCCGATGGCGCTCTTCGTCAAAATCGCCCTCCTAGCTATCCTCACCCGCATCTTCTCCCCCTACCGCGGCAAAGTCTGGTTCATCTATATCTTCCTCGGCTGCTTATGCTGCTACTACATTGTCGCTCTGATCGTCAAGATTTGCATGTGTAACCCCATCCCCAGATACTGGCTCGGTGACCAGGTGAAGGGAAGCTGCCTCGACCAGACCGCCGCCCTCATCGCCGACTCCGTGATTAGTGTCGTCAGTGACCTCATCATCCTTATTCTCCCACTGCCATTGACTTGGTCTTTACAAATGTCACGCAATCGAAAGCTCCGCGTGATAGGCATACTTGGTGCCGGTGGACTGGCCACCGCGTTCAGTCTTTACCGGTTGGTTATCGTGTTGAAAGGCTCAAGGGATGAGAGCATCATGTTCATCACTGTCATCTTATCCGGGTATGTCATATCCCCGCTTCCCCTGTTGATCTTTTTTTTTTCCTTGTTCTAACGCCTAATAGTAATGCCGAGGGAGGATTCGGATTGATCTGTGCCTGTCTACCTGTCCTCAATGTCATGTTGGCCTATTACAAGAAGAACTACTCGTCGCAAAAATACTACGAGAACGGCGGCTCTACCCACCCGTTGAGTGATAGAAAGTCAGCCCCGGCTTCGAATGTTGCTGCTGACTGGGACAAGATGACAAACTTTGGTGACCAGAGCCATCTTATTTCATTTGCTGGTCCCCCGGAGGCTGGTGAGTCGATCTACAACCAAGACGGCATCAGGAAGACGGTGGCTGTGTCACAGACCGTGGAAACGTCTTAACGGGGGATGTCCTTGTCAAATTTCTCAATGTTATATACCCACCATCATTAATTACTGTAATGAATTTTCGTTCTGTCTTCTTTCTTCCTCTTGTTTTACCTGCATATACTGTTGCGGGTCTACGTCTATCTTGCCACTCATAATTGATCGTCTTTGCCTATCAACTAACCTTAGAAGACAAACAATATTAGGTCTTTGTTGTGTACGCCCTTTGTATCCCCAGGTCAAAGGCCAAACAACGGTCTTCGCGGCTTCCTTTCTCTTCTTTGAGAGGACACCCTCGCCCAACCAACCATATAAATAACCATATTGATATAAATACACCCCCAAGTCCCTCGTCTACTCGAATATATGCTCCAGTACCCACCGCAACCATGCCTCCAGTATTCTCATCCTGGCAAGACAAGCTCCAGCACGAGTGCCGCAGCTTCAGAGACAAATTGGATGCCCAGTCCCATATTCTCCAGCACGATCCAGATGGTCGAGGAGCGGAGCGCCACATAGATGTCTCTCGGGCGGTAGTAAAGCTGTCTGCTCAGGCGGATCGGATCATAGACATTGCACTTTGTATGGTTTCCGATGCTCCGGATAGCGATATTATTCGTCGGAATACTACCTTTTGGTGCCGTGAGGAGAATGGTCGTTACAAGTTCGAGAACGTGTTCGTTACCATGGAGCATGACTTGGTCCATGTAGTGTTGGCTCTTAAGAAGGACCCGTGTCAGTGCAAATGTAATTATATGGGTGCGCGTCTTGATAGGATCGCACGGAAGGTTGCATTTAACCTTAACGTTTAGATAATTATCTATGAAATCATTAGCTGCGGGGTGTGATATGTACTGGTGGTAAGTCAAGATGCGCCTCGTATATGGTTTCCTTCTCCCACGATTATTATGGGAACAATGGAACATGGATAAAAAAATCTCTTAAACAAAATAAAAATAAAACCAAAAAGAAATCTCTCCCTCGGGGAATCGAACCCCGGTCTCCCGCGCTTATCGGTATTAATGACAAGCGGAAATCATCACCACTAGACCAAGGAAGATGTAGCCGAGTTACTGCTCGACCATTGGAATGGTTGATGGAAAGGCTTGCCATCATAGTCTTATGAGCAGGTTCTATCAATCATGTAATATACAACCTTGAAATATTTGAATGAAAACTTGTAGCCTTTTCCAAATTTGATTGAAATTCGTTCAAATCTTTACTTAATAGGCATAACTGCAGTGCTATTCCTTTGTGGAAATTTCGAGAGGCAAAAAGCCAACAAATCCTGGCGATATATATCTACCGTGAGAAAGTATAAAGCCCAGCGACGTGATGCTAAAATGGGGGTTTTTTAGGGGATTCGTAAAGCAACAAATGTCCTAGCGACATATCCACCCAAACAAAAGGAAGAGCATCATCATCTAAGAGACGGATTTGGGTCAAACAACCCCGAGTTATACCACAACCCATCCAATCCCGCATCAAACCCAAGGGACCATGATCCATCAATAAATGGCCATTGAAACATATCAGTTTCAAAGTCATGATGACCACCAAACGCAGCATTCTCCCTGGCAAGAAAGTTGGTTTCACCACCAAGACCAGGCGACGATGAAGTTCCTCCACGGGCATGAGAGTTGTGGGTATCACGGGATTCAGAGGTTCGTGCCCGAGTCGCATACGCGTCTCTGCTCGGACGAGATCGGATGTCACCATATTCATCCAGGGTACCTGCCAAGGTGAATCTCCTGGGGCTGTGAATTCCAGACTCGGAGTGGGCTTGGTTATTCTTAACTATTTCGTAGAATCGATTTGCTTCTTGGACCGTTCGCCACTGATTATTGTTAGCTGTGGTGTTTGGTTAAAGGTCCGAAATATTCACCCAGCTGCGACCAACGGGCCAGAGTTTACTTAGTCGCTCGAGGTAGTCAAGATTTCGACTCTTTTCTTCTTCCGCACGTTCGAGGCCGCCGGGATATCGCTGTGGTGCAATTGTTCCATACATGTTGATGTGAGCAGCGACAAAGACGCTGAAGCCAGAATATGGTGACATGACAGGTGCACCCGAGGCGTCTAGTGCATTAAGGATACCTCCAATGTGCTGAGCGGCTTCGAATAGCTGTTTAATTGTATCGGGTTCGCCTTGCGCGTTATCATTTATGTCGTGAAAAACGTCGGAATGGGGTTTGAGGCTGGATAAAAAGCGATCTCTGTGGAGAAAAAGGATGCTAAAAGAAGTGGTGTTAGTATCGTTGCTTGGAATATGCCAAACAAAAGTAAATACCCCATGCAGTAAACCAGATTAATGTACGCAAACAGCTCCCCATACCCGAGAGCCACGTGCGACTGAACGCTGGTAGCTGGGAACCGAACCGTTACATCCTGAAGAAACCTCCATTCATCCAGTTCCTCCTTGAGGACCCGCCAAGTCAAGAGGAGTGGGGATGTAGCTGGGTCGTTTAAAGACAAAGAAGCCAGTGCTCGTCGGTGTTCGTTCGCAAACCTTAGGATTCGTACGAATATGTCGAATCCTCGAGTGACAATCGTGAGGCCATGCTCGATCGTAAGATCCTTTGCTAGCAAGCAGTTTTTATTCATATCAGCAGGCATCAACCTGCTGGCTGGCGTATGATTAAACGTGAAGTCCCGATCACTGATAGGGAGAGGAACCGAGATCTGGGAGAATGATAGCGCAAAGTGCTGACGGGCTCCAGAGCTCAGCTCGCAGTCTTGCGCAAAGCAGCACCAATAGGTTCGGACCAGCTGTTCATATTGTGTTTGGGATGCGTGGAACTCTTGTGGATTGTGCTCCATGCTATCATCTGCCATTTTTAGAAGGGATTGGATCATGTATGTCGCCATGCCTAATACTTGTCAGCTAGTGCTCTACGACAAGCTGGGGATTCGATACATACCGCTATACATCCAAGCTTGATATGGTCGCCCAGTGCCCCACTCATAAAATGAGAGCATCACAAGGGATTGGGCAAGATAAAGCGAGGGGGCCTCAAGCACGCGCTGGGCAAGATTTTTGCGTGCATAGTTGGCATATATTTCTTCTCCTTCGAGTTCATCGCTGTTCATGAACCGCACGCATAAGGAAAGGACAGAAGCCACAAAGACGGAGTCCACCGAGTGGGCGTTGGATGATATGTCAGAAATTAAAGACGGGTAATGAAGAAAATTGGTGATTGGGAACTTTTTTCTGTAGGTTTCCACTGCGCTGATGACGATTGCCGGCGACAGCGCTGTGATGGGATCTTTCGATGGGTCTTGAGCTACGGGAACATCCTCCGTGGTGCTTCTTTCAGCATCTCCAATCCCCGGAGATAGGATGGATGATGCCTTTCGTTTTCTTGGGGTTTTGGATGAGACAGTATTTCTCCGTGCCTTCTGCCTTGAGGCGCGGGGATCTGTCAAATTACATCCTTGGTTCTTGGTCTTCAAGCAACGTTGACAGGGCGGTTGCCCTTCATGAACGCATTTGACTTTTGCTTGCCTGCAGCAAAAGATCAGATAAGATTATAAGACTAATATTTCCGACCGAAACTTACCGACAAGCATCACACGATATTGACAGCCTCATTGAGTGTACATACGGGGAAGAGTGGAGTGGGCCGTAAAAAAAGTGGCTGTCAAGTACGGAATATCGTGGGGAATATTAAGACAAACTCAAGCCATCGGATCAATGTAGGAGCGCAACTGCACCAATTTCAACCATTTATGTTGATTAATTGATTAATTGAACAGTTGGACGCACGTCTGAAGGCGCAAGAGTTACACGGATATCCTAGTATCCGAATGTGGTTAGCGCGATCAGCTGACTCGATTAGATCTATGAAGAATTTTGATATGATCTTTAACTTCTTATTATTATATTAATGTTGGGTGTCTCTATGGTGATAACAAATCCCCGTGGATAACAATAAATGGACGGGGAACCACTTCAAATGTTGGTTGCCACTGTCCAATGTTGCACCCACGCATTGAACTTGGCAATTTCCAGCTCATCCGTGGCCCAGGACGTCACAAGCCGAATCACGGAGTTTCCATCATCAAGTTGTTCCCAAACATAGAATCGGAATCTGTCCTGCAGCCTCCGAATCAATTCTTGAGGAAGGATAACGAACACCTGGTTTGTCTCGGTATCCGCAGCCAACTTATAACCCAACTCCTCAAAGTTGGTTGAGATCTTTTGGGCCATCTCATTGGCATGCGTGGCCAGTGCGAAGAATAAGTCTGATTGGAAGAGCTCCATGAACTGAACTCCAAGAATACGGCCCTTGGCCAGCAAAGCGCCATGCTGTTTGAGGTGGAAAACAAAACCATCGGCCAGCGGCTTCTTGACAACGATTGCCTCTCCCATCAGAGCACCGGCTTTGGTGCCACCGATCCAGAAAATATCGGTCATGTCGAAGATCTCCCGTAGAGTGAGATCGTTCTTCCTGGAGCAAATTGCTGTGCCAATTCGTGCTCCATCCATGAAAAGTAGGAGATTTGATTGTTTGCAAATAGCAGAGAGGCTGCTCAGCTCACGTTTCGTGTAGACAGTGCCAGTCTCGGAGGCATTTGAGATATAAAGTAGGCGGGGTTTGGCCATATGAGGGTAAAATTGATTTTGCTGGAGCGCCTTTTGGAGATTGGTGGGCGTCATCTTGCCGTCCACTGCAGGCACGAGGATAAGTTTGTGACCGGTTGCCTCGATCGCACCTGCCTCTTTGGAGGCAATGTGACCCGAGTCCAGAGTAATTACAGCCTCATAAGGCCTTAGGCAACTAGCGATTGAAATGAGGTTTGCAGAGGTTCCGCTGGGAACGAAGAAGATATCTGCCTCGTCCTCCTCACAACCGATCTTGTTTCGGATCAATTGCCGGGCACAAATGCTGTATTCATCATTTCCATAGGTGACTTGTTGAGTAGAGTTTGTTCGCAACAGAGCTTCAAGGATTTGTGGGTGAGCTCCTTCGCTATAGTCATCCATAAGGCTGTATGGAGGGCATGCCTCATCTTGGCATAAGCTTGTTGAGGGCATTGTGGATATTTGTGAAATTGATCGAACACAACAAAACGGGGTTTCCAAGGTTGAGCTTTAAAAAGAAACAAAAACAACAGAGCAAAAAATTATTTGAACCTGTCCGACATCTAGAATAACGGGAAAAAAATCATCGGGAATAATTTTCTCGGGAATGTTGCCACATTTATTCCCGAGACCTGTACCGGGAATTCCGTGCGGGCAGGGACATTTTCAGTTATTATCAAGTAAGATTTGTGGGCCGCAACATGGGGTACCGCTTTACTACGGCCTTTCCAATTGGAGTAAACCGGTCTCAATTGAGATATTTGAAAGATATATTGTGTGACAACCTGCAAATTGAGGCAACACATAGGCTCAGTGTCTGCGAGATGCGGACTCCAGGCTCCGGACTGGAATCATGACGCTCAGAGATACAGTCACTATTCCCCTCACGGGGATACCCCTCATGAGGGGTTCCCTATCTTTAGGTTCGTATCACCTTGGGCAGCTTCGGTTAGCGATGTCAGAGCTGTTTGCATCACTATCGGAAGAATTGCATCAAGTTCGAGTACACCGCTATCGCGGTTATATGTAGTCCCTCCAAAAGCCCAACCCGTACAGGGTCGCGTTGATGCTTTCCAAGGCCTAGATCTCAGATTCCCTCCCCGGGGATTTTGGGGGTTCAAGAAATATCAGGCTTTATATGCTGGCATTAGGGGATAACCCGGGAGAAGATTCCAAAGTCATGTTTCACAGCCAGTATGATAACTGACCCTAGTTGGGCTTTAATGCTTGCATGGGGGTCGCTGTCATTGGTGAAAGGGAGAACGATAAAGATTTGAAAAATTTAAGATGTTAGGATTAAAGTAGTAGGCAAGGGAGGATTGAAAAATAGACGACACTAGCGTATCTAGGTGACTTGGCCAATCAGATCAGCACTCATGCTCGGAGGTCGCCGACGGTTGGGTATGAGGTAAAAATATGAGTCGAGTAACTTCCACTGAGTATACATGCCATTGAGAAGCCAACCTCATGCCGATTATCTCAACTGCGTTAACATGTTAAACACTTCTCTCAAAAGCTGCTTCGTATGTCGGGTCGATGAAACCAGTTACCAGTACTATATACACATTGGACTAGATTCCAAGGACCCGGAAATTAATGTACAAAAACTCCCACAGATAATGCAAATAGCACTCGATGCTTTTGACCAAAGCCAAAATTAATCCTCATGCGAAGATGCGAGATGTGCCCGCTCACCTGGGAACCCGTCTTCCGTGCGAACACGCTGGTAGAGACGGACCCTCCAGCCACGGATGACCAGATAGCTTGCCATAACGCCAGCAAACAGACAAAGAAGCAAAACAAAAGAGAAGATACCGCTAATATTGCGGATAGCATCGTATGTATGCTTGAGGACTTGGATGGTCTTCTGGGTTTGGGTATCGGCTGCCTTCGATGACGCGTGGTCAGACTCAACAACCGTATTGTCTTCTGCTGCGCTATCGCTTGATTGGGAGACGGTAGATGGGTCAACCGGACTGGGTGTGCTTGACTTCCCTCTGTATCCAACAGACTTCCAGTCGGGGAACTTGCTTCGGTGCATTTCAGACCTGCCTAGGACGGTGCCATTGGCATCTACTGCCTCGGCAGATACCCAGTCTAGGTATCCGCGGGCAATGTACATGGTTTCGAAATCGGATCGGGGGGTCTTGCCAATAAAGACAGGGTCGTCGAATTCGGAGGCTTGCGCATAGAATTTCCATTCTGCGACATCAGTTGCGCCATTCCAGCTGACCCAGAAAGTGGTGACCATGTTGGTCTCATCGGTGCCGTAGACAGACGCCACCATATCTGGCGGGGCCGTGGGTCGACCGACGAATTCGAATTTGTATCCGCGGTAGGATGAATAGCGGGAGGAGGTGAAGTTGGCAGTCATCAATACTTCTCCATCGGCACCATGTTCGGAAATATAGCCCTCTTTGCTCCAGCAGGTGAATACATTGTCATTCGGAAGCAGCTGGGCATTGCCTCGGAGTCTCGACAGCTGGTGATCGGGGCGGTTGTAGCGCCGGATGACTTTAGCGGTCATAGGCTGTATGCTGGTATCCAACTCGACAAATAGAACCGATGACATATTTTCCTCGTTGAACTCCTCGTCCGAGGCGTTGTTCAAAAAAGAGATAACATGGTGTGTCCCATTTGATTCTATGAACTTCGCGTCGTGCTGCTTCGAAAAGGTGAAATCTTGCTTGAAATCACTATATTTTCCACCCAATCGCCACATGATGTTTCCATCCATGCAGGAGATGAGGTAGATAGTGTTCGTAAACCGCGCGGAGATCAAGTAGTCTCCAATTTCATTCTTGTCAACCGAGTTTATGTGCAGATAATCCCAGCCAGGAAGTCCCTCTGCCGGAGAATAGGCGGTGTAATGAACAGTCTCCGGCATAGGAACGCGATCAAAAGAGTCCCACGACTGGATAATTTCGGCAGTGTTCATATCAATCTCAGCATACCCGCCAGTCTCAAGCCAAGTAGACTCTTTCGGGCGACCGAATTCCTCTAGGGTAATCTCATGAGAAAGATAGATCGTGACCAGCGCAGTTTTACCGTCGTCTAGGATGTTGAATTCGTGGATGTCAAAAATGCCGAGATCCGCCCGCAGAGGAATCTTTCGTTCGACTCGATAATCCTTGGTCAAGACCAGTCCATACCCAGTGTCTACTTTCGAATCCCACGAGGATTGCAAGATCATCGAAAGCTGTGGGTCAGGGCCCAGACTGTTGACGACTTTGAAATCGAAGACGTTTCGGTTGTCGAATTGTTGCGAGCCAGTCCAGATGAGGCGCTATTATACCGAAATATGGTCAGCCGTCGGGGTCTGTATAGAGGGGATTGGTGTAGACGCACTCCTTCTCCATCGTAGATATGGGGACCGATCTGATATTGCTCGTACAAGGTCGACGGTGGGTCGGGGCCCATGTGTAGGTAAGGAGCGACGAACCAGTAACCGGGGCTAAGCCGCTCGCGGTTCTTGTTCTGGACATTGAATTTCACTGCCCGAACATCGGGGAGCTGGAAAACGCGGTGTCAGCGGGATTAAATTGCGGGATATGGGACACATACCGTAACGAACGACATGAGGTCATCGCTAGAATATTGCGCCAGCGCGGCTTGGCACAGCCATAGCAGCAATGAAACGCTCAGAAACAGCATTCTTTAAAGAGCGTGGTGTAGGGAAGTCATGAAGAAGAGAAAAGGAAAGGGGACCATTGTCGGGGGTCTAGACAAGGCAAGATATGTGCGGATCGAAGGAGGCACTGAATCCCATGGACCAATGGCAGGGGCTGAAGGGCCAAGCCAATATGATTATAATTGGACCCTCTCTAACGCAGTGAAGGGGTGAAACGTAGAAATTGTGGTGCTTTATTTCCGCCAAGATGCATGATCATCGTGTGGATCGCAAAACCCATGAGGCCTCGTCAGCCCTTTTCGGCTGTCGGTAATAATGTCACCGCTTATACTCCGTAGGGCCAACGAATCAAACGTAAAGCTGTTAGCATTTGACTCCCAATGCTCTCCAATTTCAGTCACATAAGCATAATTCTCCGAATCCTGGGTGTGCCTAAGTGTATTTGAAACTTCTCCCTGACTTGGCACTTTGAAAGGACGATCTGCATTTCCGGGGCTTACCGCCTTGGCGCACTGCCGTACTGATTCCTATTGACGCCACATACATCCATGGATGTGGTATATTAACTGATGAAGCAGTAGGCAGTCACTGGTCTGACGTGCTGATTGTTCAGTGCCACCATAGCTGCCCTAGAATCGATAGGACTATCAAAACGGTGCACATCATATCTTGCTTGTATTCAGCGGGTCTACTAAGCCCGAATATTATACACATTCAATAGACACTGGGTAGCCAGCAGTGAGCTGGTTAAGAAAAAAAAAGAGACATACACCCCAGAGTGCATGCTATGCAAATCGCTTTAGAGACCAAAAAGAAAAAAACAAAACACCAGCTTTTCGCTCTCGTAAACAGCACCTCACTCATCAGGATCACGATAATCCCAAAGCTTTTTCCGCTCCGCAACCCACCAAAGGCCAACCTTCTCAGCCTTCTGAGCCCAATCAAAAGCCTCAGGCCCATGCTTGGAATGAACCTCCGCAGCAAGCGACCCCATAGTCCAACCCGTGACAGGCTCAAGCTCGTACGGATCTTTATTCAAGTCCGTGAACCGGTACTCAAAGTCATTGTTCAATGGCAGGTTGAGGCGCCATGGCACTGCAGCAGAACCAACACTCAGCATCGAGCCACCGGCATTAATAACGCCCATATTCCAGGCTTCGCGGCCATTGTGCGAGGTGCGGTATGGCCGGATGAGGGACTGGCCCTCGTACTCGTTCATCAGATCCAGAGCGATTTCTGTGTCGTCTGCGTTGAGGGAATTGGTGTTCACAAGGAGATCGAGGATTGTGGGGAGGATGGATACGGCGCTGCCGTTGACATTAAGGTGCATGCGGGGTAATAAGGGGTGGTGGAATACTAGGGGTACGCGGAAGTTGCTGATGTGGGGGTTGTGGTAGGTTCCTGTGATGGGGCAGTCTTCTCCAAATGCTTGGCCGCTGTTTCGTTGGTTAGATATCAGGTTTGTTGGTCAGTGGCGGGGGAATGCACGTACTGGTCTCCCACGAAGACTGTCAAGGTCTCGTTGGCAATACCGGCTTCTCCAATCATCTTCATTAAGTCGCCAAGCCATGTGTCGACGAAGCGGTTTGCATTCAGGAAGGCATCCATGGGTTCATGTTGTGACTTGTGGAGTTCACCGAAATATTCTTCTCGTTCCCAGCCTTCGGGTGTGCCCCAAGGGTGGTGGGTGGTGCTGGTGAAATGTGAAAGGAAGAGTCTCTTGTTCTGACGAAGCGTTTCGTCAATCATGTCTTTGATGTAGGGGCGGGCCTCGGTTTCGGGATAACTGTACTAAGTTAGTATTTACACAGATACGGCTGCGGGGGCATTCTGCTTGACAACATACCCGAAATAGTTGATCTTTTCCATATCCTCATGGAAGTATTTCGCCTCCTCCACATCAATGTTTTCCGAGTACAATGCCTGGCTGAAACCAAGCAGATCTATAAGCTTAGTCTGAGCCTGGAATTCTCCAGTGACAGACTGCGCATAGATGGTTTGCCATTCCCGTTCCAGGTGACTGTCGGTTGAATTCCCAGAGGCAGAAGAGCTCTTGCGCTGGTTAAATAGATCCATAATGTGCATCAGACATGGCTGGTATGGAATGATATCATTTTCATGCATGAAGTCCACCGGGAGCGGTCCGAGGCCACAGTAGTTGACAAGACGCGATTTAGCAGAGAGACTGCTCCCTGACAATATCCCGTCGAAGGTGAGACCACCTAGTCTAGAATTCGTTGAGTTACCTGACGAGTCGAAGCCGGACTGCTCCCCTGTAAGCATCTCTGCCACGGGGGTAAGCTGGGACAGTTTGTCATGTAGATCGGCTTCATCCTCCTCTCCGTATAATTCATACGAATCACGGATTTGGTTATACAAGCGAGAATCGTTTTTGAGGGGGAAGAGATCCTTTCTGCCACTTTCCAAGAACACAAAGACGATGTGGTTGATCGGGATGGCATGGTCCTTCAGAGCCTCCTGCAAAGGACCAAGTGGTTCCAGGTCAAGGTTGCTTATCCTCATGGGATCTTGGACGGGGTTATAGAAGTAGTGTCGTGGTTCTGCTGTTTTGTTCTGGTTTTTAGAGTCGGATTCTTTGTCGCTTCTCTCGGATACGCTTTGAACGGTCGAGTTAGACGCCTCCAAGCTAATTCCGGCCGTGTTTGAATCGGGGTTCACAATCCATCTCTCAAATGCAGCAGGAAGAGGGCCATGCGCCCAGGCTGGCTTATAATTTCCGTAGGCAGTGTTGCCCAAGTCGTCCAATCTCGGTGCCCATCCCTTATAGTGACCATTCGCAGGCTCTCGATATTCCTCCGCTAGCAATTCAGGCAGCGGAAATGTTTCGACGGTCATGCGACGAGCCCGAGAGTGTTCTCCAAGCATGGTGAAGGGCAGAGCTCCCGTCATATGATTATATGGGATTGCTGGTCGGATCAGCCAGAGTCCGATCGTTATTCCAGTACCCACTATCGTCCAAAACCGAGATCTATTCGACACTAGATTTCTTAGATCCGAGGGGCCTGGCAACATGCCCAGAGTCGTGGCGTCTCCGAGTGCGTGGAGGGAGCATAGCCAGCGGGTCATGAGATTCCAGATCCCCTGAGCCATAAGCCATGAAGCTATCGAAATCACTGTTGTTGCGGCCGCCATAGGCACAAGTCCACTCAATATCAAATTCATTCCCTGCCGACTCGTGCCCACGGACCTGGCCGCATCCCATCGAATTTCGCTGCCGGTTTGAGAATAGAAACTAACTTGCGACGCTGTTGCTGCCAAATTAATGCACCTGAGGGTAGAAGTTAATATCGTTGCGCATCATATTAAGGAAAAGGTGCACCCACGCGACAATTGCTGAAACGACCACGGCGGCCACTGACCACCGACCGGAGGTTGTATATAAGAGAATCCATACTGCAATGAATAGGAGGATCTCCTGGATAAAGAATGTTGGAAAATAGAGGGTCAAAAGGTATAGGGGAAGAGATCGATGTTGGTATATGTGAAGTAACTTGGAGCAGAGACCGGACAGCACCAAAACAGACAAAATCAATCGCTGCGGATGATGAAAACGAGTGGCAATCATAATGACCCAAAACAAGCGGCCAACATGAGGAAGCCTCTCACGGACTGTTTTCCAATCCGTAGACACTGTACAATATAAGGGGGGCGGAAAAGGGAGAGGAGAAAATTAAAAGAAAATTGACTGCTCGCGTGCTCCACAACATACTATCGGAGTTTGTGCTATGCATCGGATTATGGTCAAATCATTCGGATCGTGCGGGTGTGCATTAGCCAAGACACGGTGGCGCCCGACATTCAACCTGACTCAGGGGTCTTTGCTCAGCCCTGGAGATGAGCCCCCGGAGAAGGAGGGTGCTATGATGTTTTGTGTCCAATTTCCTTTCGATCGGCGTTCCGGGTATCACAGCCTTAAGAGGCCATGGCAAATTGAAAGTTTGACCTGTTCTCGTATGGAACGTATGGAATGGAGTGGGCCGTTTTACGAGGCTAAACGAAGAGCCCCGTAGCCCTAGACAGCCAGGGGGGATCAGACCCCGCCGGAGGTTTTTTTTTGGGATATTGGTGGCATTGTTAGCTTGAGCGCTAAGCTTGTGTCGAGAATATGACTTGATGGAATGTGGAGATGGAAGGTCTTGGCTGATCTGTTTTCCAACGGTTGGGTGTTGCCTGGTGTCAGCCTTTGATAAATGCAACGCAACACCTCAGCACTTTGAGTATCAACATATTATTGGAAGAAAAATTACCGATTCAAAAGCCAGTTGTATTTTTTTGTTTTGGATAGTCAGTTACTAGCTAGGTGTCTAATAATGGAACATGCCCCTGTCTCATTAGGAATTACCTTTGCAAATTTCTCAGAGCAAGCACCGTTTTCAGATCTTCATATCGAAGCTCACGTTCCTTGGACCAAGCCAGGAGACCGGCTGTCTTGATGACATTCTTAATCTGGCGACCGTTCAGTTGCAAGTCGGCCACATGGTTAAGTTGTTCATCCGCAAAGGCCGCCATGTTCGATGAGCGATTTAAGAACTGTGTCCAAACCTGGCGCCTGGATTCCAAATCAAGCTCCTTGTAGATCAGGGAAAGGTGGATCCGAGACTCAAATGCAGGATCGATATTCTGTGTACGATTGGTGGTCAAGAAGAGAATACCCTGGAGAGAAGGATAGAATATCAGTAACATGTCCTTTTGCGTATTTCTCCCCATATTTTCTGGGATTGATGATCTTAAGGTCGAAGTTTACCTCGTAGTATTCAAGCACCCTCAAAAAGATGGAGACAAGCTCATTGCGATCGAGATTGGCTGAATCACGGGATTCCATAAAGACATCAGCCTCATCAAGCAATAGAAGAGCACCCCACCTGGGAATCATCCGCAGGATATCTTTCAATTTGTTCTCAAACCGTCCAACGTCAGTTCCAAGGTCGCCCGCGCTCATGACATAAAGAGGCACTTTCATGACCTCCGCAACGCTCTCCGCAGTAAGAGTCTTTCCGACCCCGGGGGGACCACTGAGCTGCATAATGAAACCCCGGCCTTTTCCCAGGACGACATCGTCAAATCCATCCACTTTCTTGGATTGGGCCTTTGCAACGGCCAAGATCACCTCTTTGAGCCCCTGCTGCTCCCGCGGTAGGACCAGTGAATCAAAGGCCTGCTCATCCCACTCAATGTCTTTCAAATCATCCACGTGGAACGAACCCCATTCCTTGTCATTTAGAGAATATCCATAGAGCATTGGAGTTGCAATGACGCGCTGAGCATTGTCCAGTTCTCCATCGATTTCTTTGTCAAACTTGTGAAACTTGATAAGCCCGCGCCCAAAAAGCTTGTATGCCTCGATGTCGATGATGACGCGACTCTTGACAGAGTATTTGGTTCCGCTCAAATTGTCACCCCGACCTTCGGAGTCTGTGCTGGTCGAAGCCTCTTCATAGGATTTGAAATGGTACCCCTTGTACTCTTCCCACTTCTTGCCCCGTGCAGTCAACAACTGTCGAACCACATCTTTTTCTGGGTGACATTTGAGTGGAAAGATAGGCAATGAGGTGATTGGTAGAGTGCCTGCAAACTTAGGTACCATAAACCCCGTGGAACTGTATCCGAACTTGCTTCCGTCAAACATAACGTATTCGGCTGTGAAATAATCACTTTCCGGTGGTTCATCTTCCGATTCAAGTAAATACGCACGTAGAGCTCCATCACTCGAGGAAAGGACCACATCGTGAGGCTCCAGGATCGTCCAAACCAAGTCGTGAGTGATGACTCCTTTGGCAACCAGGTCCCTCTTGCGGTCAATCACGTCCCTGAGCTCCTCGTCCATGATGCGGTAGAACAGTTCCACGTGAGCCTTGGTTGTTGAATCCTGCTCTTCATCTCTGAGCTTGGTGATTGCTTCCCATCGATGAACAAAAGGCGGGAAAGGCGATTCGAATTCGAGGCGCTGCAAGGTTGGTGTGACACCAGGATAATCATTCAGGGCCCGTTTCAAGAACTCCTTGAGACGCTCGCTTTGCACTACGATGGAATGAATAGACAAGCTTCTGCGTCCATCATAGCACTTCTGTTTTCTCACAAGAAGCGCATATTGTGCCGATTCTTCATCCTCAACGGGCTCAGGCAAGTCGGGGGGTAGTTCTTTGGCCCATGACCGTACGCCATAAGCATCGCACTTTGTCTGGTAGAGGGTGTGAAAATCACAGAGGGTGCCAATAGGCTCATACTGGATATCTTTGGCCTCAGGTACCGTGGTACCATCGTTGGCTTTGATGATTAGCCTAGGTGAATGATCAAATGTTGAAAGGAATACTCACCAAATCCATCTGAGACTTCGATCGTCATGATGAATGTCAAGTGCTAGGTAATGAGAAAGGGAAGAAGGATGTTTCAGCGAGCGATGAATTTAAGTAAGAGAAGGAAGGTTCCAAAGCTGGAAGGAAGCTTGGATCTCTTACCTCCAGGGCTATATGTTTGTCTTATGTAACTATTACACCTCGAGTTGTATTTGTAGGTCTAATTATTACATATTTTCTTCAAAGTAATCATGATCATAGTGAGGTGAATAGTTAAGAGCCATAGACATGTATATGTAGATCAAAGCCCTAACTCTGATTGGATCTGATATATAAAGATGTTTCGTGGTGATTGGTACACGATCTATTATGGATCCCTCCACACATCATGCCATATTTCTGAGGCTATATAGCCGTTCTCCCTAGAAAAAAAAAAAGAATATTTCAGATATGTTTCATAAAATGCATGTTCACTATCGCTGTCGCTATATCTAGAAAATTATATTCTTATCTATTTGGGTTTAGCCCTTCGGCCGAAAATTACAAATTAAAACCTGCTAAGTCACTCCGTTTGAAAAGCCGTCAAACGAGCCCTAATAACCTCCTCCGAATCTTCAGTGTCCAGCTCACTGAGCACACCCGATCCAACATCATAAATCAAGCCATGGACCTGGAGTCCCCGCTCCCGGATGGCATTCAAGACAACACTCTTCTGCTTGACGAGGTTTAAGCCCTCTCGAACGTTCAACTCAGCTAGTCTCGAGGCTGCCTCACCAGCCGGCATTGACTGCAGAAGTTTCAGATTGCGCTCACGCAGCTGGCGAAGCGGAAACAGCCATGGGTCCAAAATACCCAGGTTCTTGTTACCCATCGCGGCTGAGATACCGCCGCAGGCAGTGTGACCGCACACCACGACGTGGTTGACGCGCAGGTATTGCACAGCGTATTCGATAACGACGGAGGAGCTGAGGTCGCCGGGGTGCAGGACGTTGGCGATGTTGCGATGCACGAAGACATCACCGGGCTCGAGACCCAAGAAGGTGGTTTCCGGACAACGAGAGTCGGAACATCCGATCCAGAGAATCTGTGGCTTCTGGCCTGAGGCGAGGGTAGGGAAGAGTTGGGGGTGGTCGCGGGCTGTCTGTGCGGCCCATTCCTTGTTCAGGCGCAGGCCTGCTGCATAACGATCTGTGAGATCCGCACCAGAGATGTTAGTCTGGGTCTTGGGCTTGGGACGTGTGTCTAAGCTCGGGGTGACTCTACGCCGGCATTTTGATGACTGGCGCAGAAGAAGAGTGTGGAGGTTGAGAATGGCTTGTGAGGCGCGGAGACAGTGCTGTGTGTCCCTTGAGATTGAGTCGTGAACCAGAAGACCCGGAGAGTCCCGGGAGGCCTCTGCTGCACGCGCAATGAGACTGGATCGTCCTCGCGGCACCCATGAGGGGAAAAAGGAAGGAAGGTGGGATATGACAAGGACGGTTGAGGGGAAAGGACCGAGGAAGACCGGAGAATTATACGAATGATCAGGGAGACAAGTAAACCCAACAGCCAGTACTTCTCACAGAGCTCCAACAGTTGTGATTGACATGATGAAGTAGAAAAGAAAGCGGGAAAAATTGATGGGGAGGTTGAATTGAGACACCCGCTCACACACTTACCTTCAACAACCATGAAATACTAACAGTGGAGAGTGTGATATGGAAAAGAGCAAGAAAGAAGGATATAGTCAGGACTATATAAATTCTCAAAGTAAACACTGGGGAGGTGAATCGGGGAGTCCCGAGGAAGGGGCAGATCGGGGAATCGGGCTTTTCGTTCAGACACGAACGCCTCGTGGACTATCAGGATATATACAAGCCACGTTTTTTAATCGCTCAATCTTATACATATTTTCTGGGGGGAGTTCAGAAGTGTAAATGCTTTTATAAAATCAGAATAAGTACATGAGTTTTTCTATAGTTCAGGATGTACCACCGCGGCCACCGACACTCAACAGTGTCTTCTTCTGTTCCTCACTGATCTGAGCAACAGGCAGAGGACGGGCCCCAGCGACAGTTGGCGCAGGCAGGAAACCAGTTTGAACGAGATAAGAAGCGTATAAGCCGACTAATTCCTCGGTCACGCCAGCACCGGCTGATGCGTCGACGCCCGACCAGGCGGCGTCGGCCCGCAGAGCCGTTGCTGCATTCGCGTCATCCAATTCGGGGGCTTTAGTATTGGAGGGAAGGTCTGTGGTAACGAAGTGATAAAGGGGCATACTAGAAAAGGTTAGTATGTATCCATTAACGGGACTGGAAAATGGTAGTACTTACAGAGCATGCTGAGACTCCTTGTCATTGTGCTCACCATCGTTGACATACTGCTCAAGGGAAGTGGACCAAGGCACGTAATCAACCTGAGGAACGTTGTATCCGTAGAGCTCCAGCGCACCAAGGAACTGGTTAAAGCGCAAACGAGGGTGTCCAGTAACGTGGGCAACGTTAACGCCCGTGGAAGGTGGGTGGAAGGCAGTAGCAATGACAATACGAGCCACATGATCGACGGGCACCATGTTCACGGTGTTGAAGATATTTGGGCGAAGGCCAATTTGAATGCAGCCCTTGAGCATACGGATGAGGAAATCATCAGTGTTGGTAGTTCCGGTGACCGAATCACCAAGCACATATCCGGAGCGAATAATGGTTCCCCTCAGGCCTCTGCGGCCAGCCTCTTTGACAAGGTATTCTCCGGCCCATTTGCTCTGACCGTAACCGGTTCCGAGGCCAACTCTGCTGCCCTCCATATCGTCGTCTTCGCTGATACCATTTCCACCAGCGGCGATGATACGCTCAGACTCTTGGACGAAATGATCCTTATCCAAGGCACTAGTCGAACTGACAAAGGCAAACTGCTTGGCCTTTCCGCTGGCACACATCTTGAGGGCATCGATGGTACCCAAAACATTAGCCGGTCGAAGTGTCGCATAGGGATAGACCCAGTGGACAAGTGCTCCGTTGTGAATCACAGCATCGACACGGTTGGTAAGGTCATCCCACACTGACTGGGAAAGACCAAACTGCGGCTTTCCAAGATCACCACAGACGGCTTGCAGCTTGTGGGTCCATGCTTCATCCCAGAAACCATATGCGCGGCAAGTGGAGCGAAGTCGCTCAAGTGCTTGCTCCTCGGTCTTTGCCCGAACCAGAGCGACCACCTTAGTGGAAGGTGACTTACGGGTCAGTAGATCTCGGAGGATATGTGCGCCTAGGAAACCAGTTGCTCCAGTGAGGAACACGGTGGGTTCACTAGTAAGCATAGCCTCGGTACGCTGAGGGAATGTTTTAGGTAGTTCATTCACAAGCTGGACGGCATCCTTTGAGTACTCATCGTCCGGCTCGTTAGCAGCTTGTACGGCTAGAGACTTGTCATCGCTAGTTGCGAATGACTCCAAAGCTAGCAAGCGATCAATCTCGCCAGCAAAGCCCTTAAGGGTCGGGCTGCGGAAGATAGCATTCATACTGATGTCAATAACACGCCACTTGCGACGAAGCTCGAAGAACATTTGCTGTGCGAGGATACTGTGACCGCCAAGGTCAAAGAAGGAGTCATCCGGTCCAATCATGCGAGATGTCACATTGGGAATGAGCTTGGCCCAGACTTGAGCCAGAGTCTGCTCGGTTTCGGAGAGGGCCTGCATCGCAGACGAGCGGCGGCGGGGTGCAGCGGCGCTCAGTTCTGCAGTGTCTGGGAATGGAAGCGCGGGCTTGTCGACCTTGCCGTTCGGGTTCAGAGGCATGCGCTTAAGAGGAATGATAACGGTTGGGACTGCGTATGTAGGGAGCTTACTCCGGAGATGCTCACGAGCATCATCACGGAGAGGACGGAAGCGTCGCAACAGACCGACCATACCCTCAGAGCCAGAGTCGTCATCCTTAAGGCCCTTGCTCTCCAACCAAGAGGCCCACTTGGTCATATCGGGTACAAAGTAGCTGACCAACGTGGGTTCCTCGTCTTTATCTCTTCGCACCAAGGTCACGTTCTCACGGACTAGAGGATGCTGAGAAAGATGGGTGTCAATCTCTCCAAGCTCGATACGGAAACCACGAATCTTCACTTGGTCGTCGGCGCGGCCAGAGCATTCAACATCCCCAGACGGCGTGTAACGGCCTAGATCACCACTGCGATAAAGGCGATCACGGGGACCAACGTAGAATTCGCGCCAGGGCTCGTTCTTGGATTCGGCCTGATCCTTCTCCACCCACGCTTCGGGTTTAACGAACCAGTTGGTTAGGAACTTCTTCGCACTCAGATCCGGGGAACCGAGGTAGCCCTCTGCAAGACCCGCCGCGCGAACGTAGATTTCGCCGACCTCTCCGACAGCACAGAGACGAGTAGGGTCATAGCGGTTGACAACAAGCATCTGCACATCCAACATTCCGCGACCAGCCATAATCACATCCTTCATATTGTTCAAGTAGCCCTCGTGGCTGGCGTAGCTAGGGATTTCAAAGTAGCTGACAGCGCGCTGGGTCTCAGTTGTACCGTACATGTTCACAATGCTGACATTGGGCGCAAGTCCCTGGAGGGAGCGGCAATCACGCTTAATCAAAATGTCACCCACAAAGAAGGCGTGGTGAAGAGCAGGGAATTGAGCAGAGGCACCACCGACAAGAATTTGGCCCATAGCAGGTGTAAGATGAGTGATGGTCGCACCGTACTTCTGCATCCATTCAGCAAGCTTTTCGTTTTGGATGTCCTCCCGAGCGGGGACCAGGAGTTGAGCACCCAAGAACAAAGGGGTAAAAATGTCTCGCTGAATAGGATCGTGAGCGATGCCACTCAGCATAGTAAACTTCTCGTCTGGGGTGAGCTTGAAAGTCTCAGACATCCAAGGGAAATAATAAGCCAGAGAGAAGTGTCGGCCACGAACGCCCTTCGGCCGGCCTTCAGAGCCGGACGTGAAAGACAGAGTGGGAATAGAGTCAGGACCAACAACGACGCCAGTAGACTTGGACTTCAGTGCAACCTCGTTGGCGAAGACATCCTGGCCATTTACGGATCCACCGGCAAGAGTTCCATCATCAAGTAGGGCAAGCGCAGGGATTTCAGTGCGGAGCTCAAGATTCTTATCGATGAAAGTACGCACGATGTCCGAAAGTTCACCCGAATCTCTTGTAGCCTTGGCAATGTTCACCAAAGCGCGAGGACGGGCAACATCAAGGTAGATGTTCTGACGTTCCGGGGGATAGGCAGGGTCAATAACGGAGAATGTCGCACCGGCTTTCAGAATTCCCATGACGGCAACGACCAGATCCACACCACGGTAGGCATAAACCATTACAACCTCTCCTCGCTGAATGCCAGACCGTACCAGATGATGACCGAGAATGTTGGAGGCCTCGTTGATTTGGCGATAGGTGAACTCGCGGTGAGGGGAGTTGGTTGACTGAGTTTCAACCACACACAGCTTATCTGGGTGGCTTTCCGCATTGGCACTGAAAATGTCGTGGATGGCACCACGGAAGTTAGACCAGTGCAAATCGGATGTTGGGTCGGGCAAAAGTGCGCGCTGATCTTCGGTCATCAACTCGAGACGTCCGATAGCCTCATCCGGATTGGCAGCAGCATTGCTAGCAATGCTGGCTAGTTGCTTCAGAATGAAAGCAATACGAGCACTTGAGAAGAGACGCTGATTGTAGTATGCACCCAATTCGATCTCAGCTGAACCCGTTGCAACATTAACCACCAAATCAGTAGTATCGAAGGTGTTTGCAGGGTAATCTTGCGAGGAAGCGGGGGCATCATATGCGGCGAATCGGAAGAGGACTGGGGTGCGTTCGGACTTGGACTTCTCCTGGATGTACGAGCGAAGGCTGCCCAAGGGCACGATTTGGGAAGAGCCCTCCTTATATGCCTGCAATGCTTTTAGCAGTGAACCCTACAACAAGAGACATACATACATACCTCATTTACTTTGTTATAGAGCTGGGCAAAAGACTCCGAGGTATCAATGGGAACCCGGATGACGAATGCACGGCCATCCTCGTTGGAGTTTGTGCCCACAGCGATGTCCTCATCACCAGTCAATCGTGCTACCAGAATAATGAAGGCAGTCAGGAAAGCGGTGAAGCCGGACGATGAGCCCGAAAACTTGTCACTGGGGAGTCGAAGAGACTCAAAAGCTTCAATGACTCTCTTGCTGTCGGTCTTTTGTGTATCGGGATAATCACGAGTCAATGGGGAGACAGTTAGGTTATTCAACCTTTGTGCCCATATCTCTAGGCGGTCCTGCAAAGAGGCCGTTCCTACAGCCATGATTGCAGTATGTCAAAAGAGTTGGAGAATGAAAGAGACGATGACTCAATATTAAAATTACCCTCCCAATAGTGGAAAGGTCCGATCTCGCCGCTATTTCTACCAATGAGAGTTTAAGGTGCTGATTAGCTGTTTTCCCCACACAGAATTCACCGCCTTGTACATGGTGGGGTGGCGTCGGAATTTAGGTATCTCCAGCCCAGGGCGGCACATATCGGCAGAAGTTGTTGTACGTAGGGAGTAGTTATATATATCACCTTACCAAGCCTTAATGTGGCTCCAATAGTCTCAAGTCAAATGTAGCTACCTACAGAGACATGAAGGACTCATATATCGCTACTAGTTTCTTGTAAATGAAGATAATACGCACATCGAAA